TGTACTGTCTCCGATTGGCTGACACGATCCACCAATGGCGCGTAGTTAGAAGCCGTATGCGTGCCATTGACGTCACTTTTCAAATTTGATTGATCGCATGTGTCCGAAAACTGTGACGCGCCGCTCCAGGGTAGGCGTCATCTTGTAGGCCTGAATCACCACAGCTAATCCAAACATTCACCATCTAAATTAATTGAGCCATTCGCACAAGGTGATAACCATCGACCGTGTAGCTTAGTGATAATTGTTTGAAATCCCAACCCCGAACGTTCGCGGTTCGAGTCTTGATACGGGGACACAAAAAGTACACACTGCTGATGAGTCCCCCCAAAACAGGGCGAAACAGCCGTCCAGTGATCTTTATCTATTAGCACAAACATTTTCACTGCATGGAAGTAGCAATTCACTTCACCGATTTACTCTGTCATGCTTTTAATTGAACGATTCATTATTGATCAAGTGATCATCTCATTTCATGCTCAGATCAGAGCAATTCACAATCACTTCAGGCCTAATAGCAGTACAGCTTCCAAAATCTTGCAACCCGCTGAACCCCGCACGTACCCAACTGGGCAGGGAAGGGGATTCGGTATGATCAGTGTGCTGACCAACGAGATCAGTCGTATCTGAGCCTTCGGCGGTTGAGCCTTCACGAGGATGAGAAGGATGTACTGAGTTCCCATTTATGACAAGCCACGATAAATTGTGACGAATAAATAGTTAAAGTAAATGATTTAAACTCCCCCCAGGAATTAATTAGGTTTTCGTCACCGATATACTATGCCTTGTTGCACGCAACAGGTTCTGTCTACCAAACCCTGGTTTGACCAAATTCATTCTACACACTCAATCTATCTATCTATCGATTGACTATTTGGGTCTATGTGTTACATGTGGAATGTTGTTATTTTACTAATTGCTTCCAGGTGTCTGTTATCAGGAAAAACGAATCACCATCCTGTAGCTTCATTTTTCCTTCATTCAAGTAGTCTGAATCCGGTTTTATTGTAAAAAGATGGCTGGTGGTTGATGTAAAACACATCATTTATGGAAAGGGAAGTTCCAGCGACTCCAAGTGTGCGCGTGCGTACATACGTGTGTGTGTGTGTGTGTGTGTGACGCGTTGGCTCAACACTCATTTTCGGGAAAGAGAACCAACCTGAAGCCAAACTGTCGTGTAACTCATCTCTACTTTCACATCACAATTCGAAACAGCTCACTGTATTCTGATCATGGTTTATTCACCGTTTTCGCAAAACGTTCCGTCCAGTAACGCTCGATTTATTTTGATTTACGTTATCATAAATTCACTGAAGTTACATTATTATTATTATTATTATTATTATTATTATTATTATTATTATTATATTTTACACTTGTCAGAGGACAAACTGTGTGCCGAATAAATCATTGTGCAATAATCTTTATAAAAAAGAAAAATGCTCCATGATTGACTTGTGTTGATTCCATTCAGCCCTGCACCCAAAACATTGTTTGACCCATTACACTCGTCCCCTTACGAACTAACGTAATCGAACTGCTCACTCGCACCCGTTTCTGTTTGTCCCTCCCATTAATGACAACT